TATCAAGCATAGCATGGCTCCGACGGAGCCCCGTACGTCGAGTCCTTCTAGCTTCGGCGCATCACGAGATTCGACTGCCTGCAGGCGTCCCATGCCCCGGTCGGTATGCGAGCAACCTGGCAAGGACGTCGATGCCGAATTTAAAATAATATTCGGCAGATTTCGTATCCGGATGCTCTAAGATTCCAGCATTTGCCTCCAAGCATGGCCACGTACGCGCTGCCGAGCCGGTCGAGCCGCGGGTCGCGCATCAACAAGCTCATCGGCGAGGCCGCCGAGGCCGACGAGACCTTCTGGAACAACGAGGTGTGGGCCGAAGGCGAGGACGACGACTACTCGACCGAAGCTGAGGAAGAGGACGTTGTCGACTCGGACTTTTTCGACGACGAAGCGCCCGACGACGAAGTGCATGATGCAGACGAAGAGCGCCCGGCCAAGCGCACTCGAAGCACACGATCTGCGTTCAAGGAGCCAGTGCCGGTGGCGCCAAAGCGGCCTCGGCGCACACCTCCAGTGGTCGACGCGCCGCCTTTAATGCCCCTCGACGTTGCCCCCATGGAGGTTCGGTCCAGTACGATCAACAAGCGTGTCTTGTCGCACGACTTGCAGGAGCGGTACGCTCAAGAAGCGCGCAAGGCGCAGGCCGAGAAGAACGCGGCCGCGCCCAAGGTCGTCGTGCGCATGACGCAGGCCCAGCTCCTCGCCGAAGCTGTTCGCACCGAAGTCGACAACACGCAGAGCCTCAACCGCCTTGAGCGCATGGAAGAAGAGAAGCGAGCGGACGACATGGTTCCCAAGGCCAAGTTCACAGGACCCGCCATTCGCTATTACAGCTCGCTGCACACACCCAAGCTCATTACGTTCCTCAACGTCGACGAGTTTCCCGCCGTCTTGACGCAGGGCCCACCCCAAGTCCGACGACGGGTAGCCAAGCCCACCGAGGCGCCTGTGCTTGTTGCCGGGCAGACAAAGACCAAGCCCGACCGGATCGAGACCAAGCCCGACCGGATCGAGACCAAGCCCGACCGGATCGAGACCAAGCCCGACCGGATCGAGACCAAGCCCGACCCGACCGAGACCAAGCCCGACCCGACCGAGACCAAGCCGACCGCGCTCGGCGTCGAGGCCATGGTGGACATGGTGGTGGCCTCATGATCTTCGTTTCTAATTTACTCTTTCGCCTTTGACGGAAACGCCATGAAGTTGCCGGTATGGACAGAGGTCGTCGACGTGGCACTTACGCCTTCTTTTTCTTGTCCGTCGCGGCCTGCTCCTTGGCCATGGCGGCGTCCGTCGCGCGCCAGTAGAAGAGGACCTGCGCCACGAGCATGCCGTTGAGCGCAACCGAGATGAGGAAGCCAAGCATCTGCACTTGGTCGCCGGTTTCCTACATACGGCGATAAGAACTTGGAGATGGAACGTATGAGGCTTTACCTGGAGCGACGTGAAGAGGCGCGCGGCCGACCCGCCGAGGTTGAGGAAGAGCGTCACAAACGCGAGCTGGCCCGTGTGGCCCTGCTTAAAGTTGGAGAAGACCTGCGGGATGCGCGACATGATGGACGCGGGGATGCTCGCAGATGGGAGGATCCAGAGGTGCTCGTCCGGAAGGTGCAGCATGGCGGCGCCGAGGCCGAGGAAGATAAGGACGCCGAGGAGCTGCTGGGAGCGCGGCGCGCTCGAGTAGACCCAGAGGAGGAAGACGAGGATGCAGTTCTGGACGAGGATCACAGCGTTCTCGCCCCAGGTGCTAATGGGGTAGCCGCGGAGGAAGTTGTAGACGACGCTGGCCTCGAAGACGAGCACCTCGAGGTAGAACCCGGACGGGCTCAGGCCCGCGACCGACTTGGCCGAGATGATCTTGAGGATCTGGGGCAGCTTGAGGATGAAGCTGCCGAGGATGATGGCGTAGCCGAGCGCCTTGGAGAGCACGGCCTTGAAGCATGCCACGTGGAGGAAGTCGTGCTGCGTAAAGTACGTCTCGTAGCACTGCGGCGTGAAGACACCATACACGAGGTCCGTCGACGCCATTTTCGTTTCTGACTAAAGACGGCTGGGTGGCGAGGGCTCTTGGCTAAACGCACGCTCCCTAACACCCACTGTCTCTGCACCGTCGAGTCGACACTACGTTTGGAACGCCAGGAATCGGTTGCCATCAACGGGATATGCAAGCAACATCGCAGGGCCCACGCGGTGAGCATGCAGCAGTGACGCCCACACCGCATCCCCGTCCCACACAATATTTGGACTTTGGGATGCAGGATCGAGAAGGCGACCCAAAGACATTGCATTAGTGAGCACAGGGACCGCACGCGGGCTGTTTGTTTGTCGAGGGTGTCCACGTGCTACAGATGCGTCGTGGATGCACGAGACGCCCGCGCGAGAACCGTGCGCGGCAACGAGTTGGGTGCGAATAGACGCACTTACGCCGCCAAAAACGCGCCAAAAGCCGCCACGTGGTCGACGATCCTTGTCCCTTTCTACTTCTTCGTCGAACTCTCGTCCAAGCGTAACACTCAGGGAACACGGGATGTGAAAGGATGCAGTTATTACATGGCGAGGAGGTGCCGGAAGTCGGAGAGGTTGAGACGCCCGTCCTTGTCGACATCAGCGGTCGCGACGAGCACCTTGAGGTCATCGTCGCTGAGGCTGCCGTACCCCAACCGCTCAAAGAGATGCGAGAGCACTTGGCAGCTCACATATCTAGCTCACTCCCATCACGTGACTTCCACACTTGGCTGCGTACCCCGTGTTTTCCGGGTCGTAGGCACGGAAGGCGTCAGCGACCGGATCGTAGTCGGTCACGTCGTTCTGCAGCAAGAGGTCGCACAAGTCGTCCTCGGTGACTTCTGACGCGTTGTTGAGGAGGACGCGGAAGTCGCGGGTTGTCATGTCGGGGTAAAAGATGCTCAGACGCGTCTACGAGGCGTCCATAGCATCGACGACGATGGAGTAGTGTACCTTGAGGTTCTCCATGGTGACCAAGCCGCGGTGTTCGACGTCGAGAAAGTCAAACGCCGCACGAATCTGGTCGCGCGTGACAAGAACACCACCGTGCTCCTACAAACAGCCTCGCCGTGAGAGTGGCCTTGCGGAGCCGGTGTACGTTGCGGGGCACGGCCTCCAGCGCACTAAAGAGGTTTGCCGTCGACTGGCGCGGGCTCGAATTGCGGCGAGGCGACGTCATTCTTGAAACGCCAGGGGTGTTGCAGAACGAACGGTTCACGCAAGCAGAAACCCACCATTCTCCCTTGAAGTAGGAACATTCAACATCCTGGAAGGACCTAAGGGGTTTAGGTCGATCGAGGTTGGTTGCTGCTATTGCGGTTGATACTGTGGTGTTAAGCATACGTTGCGACAGGACACACTTCGCTCGCGGTGTCACGGAAAGCGAGCTTCCTGTCGCTCGAGCTACATCAGGCAGTCCGCGTCCAGATATAAACAATTGAGTCGACTAAAGTTTATGCACCAAGTAGCTACACGTCTGGTAGCTCTGGCTCTGGAGTCGGTGTCGTGATGTTGCACTCGTCACTGCTGGCGACACTGCGGCTCGGAGGACCCCGCGGCGTGGAGTCGCTCGCGCAACACTTGGCGCTCGACCGCCACGACAGCATCCGGTTTCTTGTACTAGAGTAAATGTCCCTCTTGATATGCCTAGCCAACGAGTCGACGTACGCGAACGACGAGCGTGTTGCTCTCGTGCGTGAACGAGATGGCCGCCGCGTCGAGACGCTGGTTTTGGCGCACCAAGGCCGGGATCTGGAAGCGCTTAAAGTACTTTTTGTTGCTTGTTCGGATGCTGATCGTTTGTACGTCGTCGTCGATGCTAATGGCGTACGTCTCTTTGGGGTATGGAAGGTTCCGCACCCGCCACTCCCAGTGCGCAGGCGCCTCGCGGCACAGAAACGTCGGCTACACGGTCCAAAGCCACAACCTCTCAACCCCACAGCACTACCTGCGTGCTGCTGGGCGCCAAGCCAATATCGCGGCTTCGTCCTTCGGCCTACGACCCGCGATACGTGGTCGCACGCATCGCACGAGCAAGTACCGGAAGAGGCTCGCCAATCTCGTACTCCCACCGCCCGTCGCCGCCGAGCGCCGTCGTGGTCTTCCATCGGCGCACTAGAGAGAGACCCGCAGTAGACCGCAGCGATCGTCAAGGCCAAACTACCCAAGAGCTCGGGCGGGCCGTCCTTCGTGTAATCTTCGACGAGCTCGACGCCGTCGGCAAACGTTGTGTGCAGTCGCTTGCGGCCGCCAGCGACGACGACCGCCGAGTTGCCGCCGCTGTGACTACGGTACTACGCGGCGCGCGTGAGGCGCATCCAGTCACGGGTCGTACCATGGAGAGACGCGATCTTGCTAAGTGCAATCAGAACTCACCTTGAGTGCCTGAACCTGTGCCTCGCGCACCTGGAAGCGGCTTCGCGAAGGCCTTCTGGTGCCTAATTAGGCACTATGGTTGCCGAATTCGGAGGATTTCGATTGCGTGGTAATCCGCATTTTGACCGCAGAAACCAAGAAGCCATGCACGCAACCGGCGTCAAGAAGGCCGCGCTCGAAGCGCTTAGCACCCGCGCCCTCGATGGCCGTGGCCTCCGCATCGGCATCTGCTACACCAAGTGGAACGAAGAGGTCATCTCGGCCCTCCGCGACGGCGCCGTCGCCACGCTCAAGGAGGCTGGCGTCGCCGAGAAGGACATTGTGCTCTTCTCCGTGCCGGGCGCATACGAGCTGCCGTACGCTGCGAGCCGCATGATCTCGTCCAAGGCTGTTGACGCGGTCATCTGCATTGGCTGCTTGATCAAGGGCGAAACGATGCACTTTGAGTACATTTGCGAGGCCGTCACGCAGGGCCTCAAGGACCTCAACCTCAACACGGGCGTGCCCGTCCTCTTGGGCGTCTTGGCCTGCCTCAATGAAACGCAGGCGCGCGCGCGTGCTGGCCTCGAAGAAGGCGGCCACAACCACGGCGTCGAATGGGCCCAGACGGCGATCGAGATGGGAATCTTGCGCCGCGAGACGGAGCCGACCCACGGTTGCTGCCCGCTCGGCTTCTCCAAGGAAGGCAAGTGCCCCATGCGCAGCCACTGGTTCTGCCACGCGACCATGATGACGGTGATTGCGGGCTCGATCGCGCTCGGCATGCACATCGTCAACAAGCGTCTTTAAGGTTCCAGCAGGTTTTTCTTGTTGATAAATAGAGCCTCTTACATATCGTCCATCTCGTAATCCGCGTCGTTGAACTCGTCGTCGTCGCGGTCGGGAGGCGAGTGGAAGCGCGGGTTGGACGGGCCAGCGTCGTTGGCTTCGTCCTCCTTGGCATCGGCGTCGTCGTCCTTCAAGATCATTTGGCTCGTAAGGCCGCCGATGAGCTCGTTCTCGCGCTTGATCCGCGCCGCTCGCTCCTTGTTCTTGCGCGCCTTTTTCTTGGCTTCCTCCTCAAGCGCGTAGATCTCCTTGTACTTTTCCTTCGTCACGCGCTCCTTGAGCAGCGTGAAGAACGCACCGCCCAGCGTACGCTCGCGGCCCGTGGTGGTCTTGAGCGTCTTGCCCTCCTTGTCCATGAGCAGCGTCTCGCTAAGCACGCTGCGCGTCAAGCGCTCGCCGATGAGCTCGACCGTTCGGACGACGAGGTGGATCTTGCGCTCACCAAGCACCTGCGCGATCTCGCGGCCCACACGCTGCGCATGCGTTAGCTTCGGCCGGTTCTGGTTCCCGCGTCCGCCATTGCCACGACCTCCACGCCCGCCATGGCCACGACCTCCGCGCCCGCCATGTCCACGGCCACCAGCCTTCTGCGACGCAGCTTGAGGCATGCTGGGAATCGAATTTGTGTGGGCCTTAGTTTCCCTCCCTTTTTATTTCGCATTTGATTGGCTCTCGTGGGCGATCTTGCCGCCGATTGGCCATAATTCGCTCAAATTCGTGGCATCCTCTGCTTACAACTTGACCAGCTCCTTTGCTTCGTCGAGATCGTACGAGCTATGACGCGAAGGCTCTCCCTGCTACGAGCAAGGAAATAGCTGACGAAAGCAAGCGTCAGGATGCGAGGCTGCTCTGGGCTTGACCTCGTCCGACGCCAGGCGAGCTACCCGTCCCAGCGTGTCAACTGCTCATGAAGCTTGAATCTGCGATGGTCTCTACCTGTCGTGCGTCGCAGAATGAAAGCGCCATGTTACGCTCTGCAAGGTAATCGTGTTAGAGTGGTGACATGGTGTCGCAGAGCCATTGGAAGCCCTCGGTGAGTCCGTCGCCGGTCGTGGCGACCGTGGGCTGTATGTGGCACTTGCGGCCTTGGTCTTCGCAGAGCTTTTCAAAGTCGAGCTGCGCCACGATGTCGCTGGCGTCACCCTGAATAAGGTCGCGCTTGTTGAGGATCACGAGCAAGCAGGCATCGTGGAGTTGGTCGTCGCTGAGCACGCCGTGCAGCTCGGCCTTGGCGAGCTCGAGGCGCTCGGCGTCCGAGCTGTCGATGACAAAGACAATGCCTTGGGTGCCAGTAAAGTGGTGGCGCCAGTACGGCCGCAGCGAGTCCTGGCCGCCAACGTCCCAGAGGTCGAGCGTGAGCCCATGGAACGCAATGGCCTCCGTGTTGAAGCCGATCGTGGGCAACGTCGGAATCGTCTTGTGGAGGCGCAGGTGGTACAGGATCGTCGTCTTCCCGGCCGCGTCGAGGCCCACGAGCAGCACGCGCCGGTGGTTCCGCGTCCAGAACCGGACGATCTTCCGCGACAGCGTCGAGCCCATGACGCGAGATCCGTCGGTTGCACACTTGGGACAAACCTCGTAAATCCCAATTCGGCAACTGCCACATAAAGAAACCTGCAACTGCCACGAACAATCTCCCACGCGACGCCACGTCATGTTGCCACGCGCGTGCAGAGCGGCTCGCTTCAGCAACCTACGACGTCTCATCCTGCCGTCCGCGCCATGGCGAGTGGCTCACTAGTGCGTCCTGGACGGGCGGATTTCTGCGCCATGGACAACGATCCTCGCGCCAACCACCGACGCACGATCGTCGACTCTAGTAGCTACTGCTGCGTCGACCTTTGCTGTGACCTGTCTATTCACCGCTCACGCACGAAACGGCTCAGGCCCAAATTGGGCACAGCGTTGTACCCTCCCGCGCGCCTGTTAGCCTATTATAAACCGCCAACTGACAACTTGTCCAAGCCCGATGGCCCGGTGGTCGTGGCGCGGTGTCCACATCCAGGTGCGCCGCGTACTGGCGTGCCTCTGCACCATCGGCATCGTGTACGTTGAGTACCTCGCGTCCGTCGGCAACCGGACGGTGCTGGTCGGCGGCCTCCTCCCCGCAACCGCCGGCAACGTGTATGCGAGTCCGCTTCTGCCCACGTTCCTTTCGACGCTCCTCGCGGGCGGCTACACCGCTGCGCTGGCGAGCCCACCGAGCTTTGTGTACCTCGAAGCCAACGAGAGCCGCGTCGACCTTCTCGAGACCTGCCTTGAAGCACTGCCGGGCGACCGCATCTACACGAGCAGCTACCTCACGCTCGTGCTCTCCTCGCTTCTGCCACTACAACTCAACGACAGCCATGTGCTCGTGGACTGCGCGTACACGGGCCGAGCGACGGAAGATACGACCGCGCTCAAAGCCTACGTACTCTCCCCGACGGCGCTCACTACGGTCTTTCTGCAAACGATGACCGTCAGTCGCCCCGACAAGTATCGTAAAGCCGGCTGCGGTGCGGCCACGGTCGTCACACTTCCTCTCGACACCATCAATATGGCGGAGAGGACGTCGAGCGTCGTGGCCGACCCCACGTCGCTGGCGATCAATGACATCTACAAAACGTACGTTGGCCTCGACTTCCCGTACGAAGTCTCGACGCCGTTTGTGCCGGTCCATCTCGCGACGGCGGCGACCGACTCGGGGGCGTGGACTGCGACGCTCGGGTATGAAATCGTGTCGCTTCAAGGCACGGAGGGCATCTTCCGCGGGTCCACCGCCAAGGAGGGCAACTTCGCCTACTACGTGTGGTCCCTCCCATCGGACCCGCTGGCCTTTGTGTTCGAGACCGTCTACACGGACGCGAGTCACTCGATAGACGCGAACGCGTGGCTGCGCATCCTCGTCGGCGCCGGCATCGCCTTCAACGCGGTCGTGAGCCTGCTCGTGGCGCTCGTCTCGTGCGTGCACTTATACCAAGAGACGGGCATGCTCTGGGTCCCAGACCTCTACCCGTGCATTCAGTACCGGGTCCAGGTGCGCGCCGCGCTCTGCGCGTGCGTGCTCTACCTCACCGACTGGTGGCACGTCTTTGAGTGGAGCCTTGCTGAGGCGAACGAACGCCTCGGCTTCACAGGCACCTTTGTGTACCCGGCGATGGCGCTTGCCGACGCCATGATGGTGGCGCTCGCGCTGCTGACGTGGCTTACGCATGCGTTGCGCGTCCGCGTCGGCTTGGAGCCCATCGTTGCCATCTTGTGCGCCTGCTTTTGCTACCGCACCGACCTCGCACTGCGCATCGGTCTCTGTCTCGAAGCGACCGACGCGTACGCTACCGCCAACTTTGAGAGCAACTCGTTCCCAGCCGGCAATGACGGCATGGACGTCTGGTCGATGCATGAGAACCCCGGCACCGACTTTTGCGTAGTCGCCACCGCCTTTACGTGGTGGCTCGTGGCGCTAACCGCGGCGTCGCTCTACATTCTGGGCGCCAAGGCCGTCGATGTCTTCTGGCCCCCGCGCCCGACGTCGACCATGCGCCGCGTCAAATCCATCATCATCCAGCCCCGCAGCCAGCCCTCGATTCTGGCGCTGGCTGGCAGCAGCAACAACCGGGTCGCTGCCAGCAAGAGCGACGATATCCCCGCGGGCCTGACGGACATGCGACCGTGGAGTAAGCGCTCGCTGCTCTACGCCCCGTTCCACTCGTGGGACGCCAGCACCGGGAGTCAAGTCGAGCGCAGCACACGCCAGCGCGTCGAGGACGTTGTCGGATTTGTCGCCGCGTGCGACGAGAGCACTGAGGACGGCCGCGTCTCGATCTCGTCGTTATGGCTGCTCGGGCACGTCGTCGTCGACGGTATGTTCCTCATGGCCATCAACATGTACCCGCGCTGGCTCCTCAATGCGCTTCTGAACCGCCGCCTCTTCCGCGTCTACGGCAACCGCCTCGACGAGACCGGCGCGAGCTCTCTCTACAAGGAACTCCTTCTCGTGCGCAGAGAGCGGGCGTGGACCGACCTCGCGCCACTGCGCGTTCAACCAATGCAGTAAGCATACGTGGTGACTTCGTATCCCCTACCCCCTTCTCGTCAGTTTGAGGTTGAGTTTCGCTACAAGACGCGAAGAAATATCAGACGACGCTTCCTTCACGTCCGGCGTTTATAGAAATGACTACGATGTAGGCAACTAAGGACTTAGCGGAGGAGCGCGGCGATGGCGATCGCGGCCGACGCGCCAAGAGCGATCGACGACGCGCTGCTGCCAGCAGTGCCCGGCGTGGCGCCACCGGCGCCACCCGCACCGGACGGGTTGCGCGGGACCGTCGTCTTGCCTTCCGCGTTGGTCGGAAGCGGGGGCTCGACGGCCTTGGTGAGGGCCGGCGGCACAAC